GAGGAGGGAGAGAGAGAGAGAGAAATTTACATCAAAGACTGTATAGTTAGAAAATCCTACAATGATTGTAAAAGCTCATATCTATCCCATACTAGCCACCTACTCTTGTATTTGTTAGGTTATCCTGATGAAAAAGTAGTTTTGTACCAAATTGATGTACAGCAAAGTTATTATTATCCATAACGCGAATTCGCGGATAGCTTACCTCCAGTCGCTGTGCTACAGGATGCCGTCGGTGTACATAGTTTGTCCTGAGATGCGCATATGCAGTGTCCTAGGCAGGTGTGGGCCTGGCATCTTCTTACCAGAGACAGAAAGCCTCTGTCGGCGGCGGATGACACGAGGGAGAAAGCTTCATGTGAAGCGGGTGCTCTCATGCCAACCTTCAAAAGAACAACATTCTATCAGACTTCCAGATCTCGTCACGGGGAACTCTCGCGAGAAAATACTATAAATTTCGCGCAGGCGCACACACAGATCAATCTAGTTGCTGAGTACGTGGTTACCATGATCAGAGCGTTAACCATTACATTGTTCAATGTAATGGTTAATCAATCAATCAATATCCCTTATTTATACTGGAAATGCCCTGTCGGCCTTAGCCGCTCTTCCCAGAGGTCCAGTTGAGGGGGGGGGGGGTCACGGGGGAACACAATAAATAAGTAAATAAAATTCAAATTACTACAAAACTAAATTACTAAATACCTAACATAATAATCATAACATGTCCAAAGTCACAGTCCGCAAATCAGTCCGCAAATCTAATTTCTCGACTACAGTATTCGACTACTGTATTCTTGTTGAAAACCTTGATCAAAGGAACGTACTTCCAAGTACAAAGTCGTAACAACTCAAATTGTTAAAATCTCAAATAGCTTGTGGAATATTGTACCTCGTTGACAGCCACAATCTTGATGTAGACTGTGGAATCACCGCTCAACGCCGTTGCAACAGGAATCTCGGCGGTATGAACCACTCCTTCCAGGGTTGTCAACGATGAGTCACTGGGGGCAACCTCTATCGGTCCGCTCTAAAGTAGGTCATAGAGTTTGTTGTTAAGAACAACAAAATTAACTGCTACTTTTCTGTTTCCAGTACAGTAGTGATAATGTAACTAAATTCGTACAAACATGTCAAGAACGCAGTAATGTTTGTATGTCTAAAATGAGCAAAACATCAAACGTTTATACATACAGGTCATAGCCAATGAAAGTCCGATCGTTTTTTGGAAGGGGGCTAGATTATTCAAATTCATGTTGATCGATATTGAAGGGCACATTTGTATTTCTATGATGTTTATGTTTTGACAAAAATGCTCATGGCCAATGAATACATCAAACGTAAATGACGTTTTGCTCTCAAATATATGACATTTTCGTCTCCTGGTTGCTTTGCACATTTTGGGTCCAGAAAACACGTTTAAAATAGTATTTCATTTGTCTATCCTTACATCACATTAAACTTACTGGAATAAGGTTGTCTGCGTCGAAGTTGGTTCCCACGAAAACCAGATACTTGTCGATTCCAGAATGCACGTCAGTGAAGCCCAGCCAAGCCAGGCGGAGAAGTGTAGGGTTGCCGTTGACGTTGTTTTGCCACGTCATCCACCCACTTTGAGGCCGCTGATTATCTATGGCGTGGTCCGTTCCTACTGCGAATGTCCCAACTTTTGGGGGTGAGCCGTCCACCTAATAGTATGTAAGTTCATATGTGAGGAGACATTTGTATTGTATACAGCGTCCTCATTACTTTTCACGGTCTGTCAACAACTTTGTGTATTCGGAGTTTACATATGGCAAATCACACAGTGTTGTGTCATTGTAAGGTAAGAAATTGAAATAACACTTGACAAATGTTATCCACACTAAAAGACGGTTCAAACCAACCATGATCTCGGTTGAGGTGGATTCTGTGCAGAGCTTTGCCCTGTTACAGGCGACCACTGTCACTGAGTAGCGGTTCCCATCGTGCAATGTCATGTTACTGAACGTGTAGCTCTGGTCATTTCCGCTGACCTGTATACAGGCAAATAAGCAATAAGTGAAACCATTTGCATATATGTGAAAGGACAAATTGTACAATGGCCAAACAAGCTCTGAATCAATGTAATAAGAAAGGGTATGTTCTCAATAGATAGAGACATATTCTAACAAGATTCCATAACATCATCATCATCATTCATCCTCTGTAGTAGAGGTGGAGCATAACATAAACTACAGCTAATGCGATTTAATACGTACAGATTCGCTTAAGCCTGCACAAAACCGTGACTTAAGTAGATTTTGTGAATCTTCAACCTCGCAACTTCTGGTTTTGTTCACTGATAGATATCGACAGTGTATGCATTGCCTTTGCATTTATGTAACAAACTAAAGACTATAAATCCCTACCTTTATCGTAGGTAGGTCGTGGCGGGATTCCTGGTGAGTAGTCACAGACAGGAGGTGATACTCTATCCCAGAGTCGGGGTCAGCAAACTGCCAACTGACTCGTAGGAGTGATCTGATGACCTGAAAAAACGGTAAGTATACATTGTTTGGAATATCATTGACAGGTGTAGATTAAGGGTGGCATAGTAATGTTCCTAAAAATCTCGAGTATCAAAACATTCAATGATAAGCAGTGGTTACATAGCATATTATCAGAAAGACACTCACTAGATACGGTGGATGATCTCATGCAACATATGACCTACTGCTCGCCAAATGAATTGTTCTTTCAGCATAAAGTGACGCTATGTAGGCAGGGGCTTACTCGTTCATAAACAAAGAATGGTGCAGTTCAGTTAAAATGAGTTCCTTTTCCGTTAGAAATCAAAACTACAGATTAATGATTAGACATGTAAAACAGTATTTTGTATTCATGTAACCGTTATGGACCCATGCACAATAGCAGAGTGCAGTACCTGTGTATCAGCCTTCAGTGACCCCCAACTCAGGTCAATTGCAGTGCGTGTAGTCACTGTTGGTGCGGTGGCATCAATGAGGAATCCATCGGAACTTCTCTCCACCGATAACCCCGCTTTGTTGAACGCCTTGACAGTCACGTAGATTGTGGTGTCTGCAGGCATGGGTGTTGTCAGGGTAACTACAGCCGTTTCTGACAGATGAAGCGTTGATGCAGGTAAGATATCACTGCCTCCAGACGATGTTCCCGCCCGCCACTCGTAGTGAGACAGTTGTGAATGGGCGTCGTGGAACCCGAACCAGCTGGCTCGCAGCAGGTATCTAGAAATGATCAAGAAAGGTGTCAATCTCAATCAAAGATTCAACCTTTTCTGAGTGAGTAAACCAAAGAAATTCTGTTGAACCGAACTGGCCTATTGGACCCCTGATAGTCGACTTAAACGTATGTGAGATATCCGTTTGTATACGTTTAACAAAGTTGCGACACCGTGTTAGAATTACCAATCATGTCTGTGCTGCACTTGCAATTGTTAAAATATTCCTGATACACTTTTGTTGCTGATGCATGAACATAATTTAGTGTAGCCAGGCTAAATGTCTACTCACGTAGACGGCTGATATTGGACGTCCACGTCAGCGGCTCCATCGCGCACAGTCCCTGCGACAGGCGGCGTGTCGTCCATCAGAACCCCGTCAGAAGAAGCGGTGGTGCACAGTTGGGCAGCGTTACACGCCGTGATCGTCACGTAGTACGTAAAACCCGGAACCAGCGGCAGGTTGGATGCTGACATATCTGGAAGACATAGACATCGCAAATGTACGGAATAAGAAAGCTGTTGAAAGATGGTGCAAATGCCATCTTGAGAAGGTTTTGCAATCCAAGAAAAATGGAACGTATTGACTAAAAATACCTGATTTGATCCCAAGATCCACGTCTTCCAGGACATCTTTGCACATTGGACATGTTCCGATGCTCCACTTGTAACTCACGATGTCTGTGTGAGGATCATGGAACCCTCCCCAGTGTGCACTGATGGTTGTCTTGTCAGTCTGGTAATCCAGGTCGTTTGGAGGGTCCGCGGCGGGTCCATCGTGGACAAACCCAGCCTCGGGTGGGGACGTTTCAGCCACGTAGCCGTGAGAAATGGCAGTGCTGACAAGGCCAGCTCCGTTCTCTGCCTGTGGAAAGAACATAGTAAAATCCATGGTCAGGGAGTTGAAATTTGAATCAGTTCTACATATAGCCATGACAGTATTTGGATATTGTGTTCTCGAAAATCGCAGACAATGCCATGTTCAAGAAATCTCTGTAGGGCAGGATTAAAGGACAATAGGACTACAATGCGTGATAACACTTTATACTTACCATTATTGTTATGTAATAGGTGTGACCTTCCAGCAAAGGAGGATCTACGGCAGAGTCAGCCATGTCGTCCTTTGCAGGCTGTAAACGCACAGCGTCGTCCAGCCGAGGAGCAGACCCAACCGCCCAGTAGAACGAGGTAACTCCACTCTCCTTGTCAACGAAAACATCGGGCCAGCTGTGGAAATGAAATCGTGAATCTTCAAGCAGTCGTCCATACAACAAGAGCTCGCGTCAACCTTCAGATGAGATGCAGTACAGGAGGTCGAGGAGGTATGTGTTTGTGCATACCTTAATCGAAAATCTATGGAATTAAGGGAGAAAGGAAGGAAGAGAGGGAGGGAGGAGGGGAGGGAAGGAAGGAAGGAAAGAAGGAGGTATTGTCAGGCTAGCATCGTTTGCAAGCGATGGATAGCACGTGTAGTACAATTGGTATATCAGGTATGAGACCCACAAACCTGACACTGATGGAATCCAAGGATTGGAGGAATAGACCACCGATGTCAATCCCTTTGTCATTCTTCTCAGGAGGTGTTGTATCGACGAGTATGCCATTCGAGACAGCAATGGCCGAGAGTCCGACGAAATCAACCCCTGTAAGTTTACAGCGATTTCATATAAAATAACAAGATTAGTGATTCGCGTGTCATAATCTAAGTCGTGAAGCTGAAAGATGATTTAGCAAAAGTCCATCTTGGGTTCTACTCACTCTTAGAAAATAATTTTAAAATTAGAAAGGTAACATTTGCGAAGCAAAAGCATAATGTTTACCTTCGCATGTGGTCTGCTCTGTTAATTCTTACTCTAACACATTCACATATATGGCGAAATGAGTCTAAATCCCTCCTACTATAAAATTGCAACATTATGTAACCCAACACCAGTTACCATGGTCAGAGACAGTCTGCTTCAGGTCATTGACCAGGTCAGAGGTCAGTGTTTGGAACGGAACAAGAAACAGAACAAAAACAACGGTTTACATAATAATATGAACCTGGTTCTGCAATCATGCTAGATTTTGAACATAAAAAGCGAGAGTGAGCAAGCTTCAGTCTACAGTAGCCTAGCTACAAATGTAAAGTTATGGACCTTTGATCGTTGCGTAGTATGTGATTCCACTGTTAAGACCCAGGTTGTGGATGACGACGCTGTTGATGTTTCCGACTTCTGTGAAATCCTGAACATCTATGCCTCCTGGAGAGGTGCCTGTGGAGAATAATATACAGGTAGGTAAGGAAGCTTTAAAAGTATAACAGCTTATCGCTGGAATGTTATTAGTTAGCGATGTGGGTACAAATACCACTTTTAAAAGTTATTTCATACTTTGCCTTGAAAGTGTGCTGATAGAATATTTCATTTATTAATAGTTAATCGTTCAAGGGATAAGAACAGGAACCTATAACAACAGCTATTCAATGTATACATTATGAGACCATGATACCAAACATAGGTATAATGATGAGACCCATTTCTAGTTACGAGCGCCATTTTGAATGTGCTCTCGCGAGAGTACCGACTATCGCGAGCGCGCGTGAGCTGGCGTCAAAACGGGGTTTCTTACCAATGGCGCACAGGTATGTCCTGATGCCGGAGACATGGCGAGATACTCCGTGTTCTTCAAGGTCCACAAACGAGGTCCACCGTACAACAATCTCCGAGGACGACGACTGCAGGTAGAGAGAACAGTTAGACACATCTACTACACCTGTCAAGTCCTTATTTACCCAGAGAAAGCAGCTGACAAATGTTCATGTAAGGCCATGTTGATTTGATTATATGGATGACATCCGCGCGCGCATGAATTTTCGGCCGTTTCCAAAAAAAAAAGTTTTAAACCATACTGTAAATCGTACAAAACAGTTGCAAAATGAGCAAAAATATACCATAAGTTACAAAAAAAATTGATAAAAACTATACCAATGTCGTAGAATGCCAAAATCAAACGAAAAAAGACGAAATTGTAAAGAAATTAATTTGAAGACTAGATTATTCGCCAAACCATATTCTGTGCCATTTGCTCAACCCTCATGACCACGTAGACTTTTTTTTTTGCAAAACTTTTTTTTTATTCGCACGCGCGCATCAGTTTTAGGGCTCCCGGAGGATGTCATCCATATAATCAAATCAACATGGCCTAAGTGACGAGTAAATACATTTTGTAAGATCATACCTGGTAACTCTTGTCGTCAGAATTCTCGATCCACACTCTTCCAGGAGTTGGCGGCGTACGGTCTACAGTGATGCCGTCACTACATGCAGAGACGGCCGGTAGCCACTGGGAAAACGTCTCGTACTCTTGTAATGTTTTGTTAGCGTGGATGCAGATGTGATAGCGCCTGCCTTGCTGGAGCGCCAGATTGTCGACGTTGACGTACTCGTCAGTCGTGTTCCCACAGGATATTGCGAGGGGATGCGCGCACGGGTATGGGAACTGACTGCTGCCAGACACACTGCCGTAGTCACTGTTGCTTGCAGATTCCTCGATGACTGCCCATGTGTACTGTCCCTGTCGCAGACTTGGCCACACTGCCGACAGTGTAGACTGCGATGATGTGTAATCCGCGTCGTCTTGGTACCACAAGGCATTCTTCTCAAGTTGAACAGTTCCTGTATGTTAACACATTAAATAAATGACTCGGAAACCACTGCTGTATTTCATACTTACAGCATTCAATACAATGCAAAAGCCACTCATGTTTCAGTGAGTAATAAAAACCGCTATTCCATGTGAATGTACCCACCTGTAGCGTCAATGACGAGGTGCTGGCGTCCGATGGTGTTTCTACTGCAGTCATTGATGTCAGTTTCAACTGAGGACTGTAACCCCACTTTGTTGATGGCACGGACGACCAGCTTCGGGCAGCCGGTAGCTAAGATGTGCCGGGGAACACTGGCAGAGTGTTGATGGCGTTCCTGAAAAGATGACAAAATTATTTAAGCGCTATCGTACATGTAGTACATAATAAATGGACTTCTTCAATGTCCCGGACAGAAACAGGGCATGTTGTTTAGATAATAAAATGTGTCTCTTGTTTTCTTACTAGTTATCAAATAAATTAGTTAAACTAGTTAATGAACTATTAAATAAAGTATTTACACGTACCACATCATTGTTGCTGATGTCTATCTGTGTCCAGGGCAGGAGCAGCTCTTTTCTCTCTGTGTCGGATGTCACTGCCCACTCGTACCGATCAATCGCAGGGGTGGACACTGGTGTCCACACGTATCCGTCCGACACTGATTTGGGCACATCTCCGTCCTCGAAAGCGTCCCAGCTGAACGTGAGTGTGGAAGGACCCTCCCCACTGGTCTCTGTAACAGCAACACTCAGGCGGCCAGACACCGGGGCATTTGGAGTGATCCACGTGCCGCTACTTACCACCGGTTCGAAGCACCCCGTTTTGTAACACGGAGTGATGATAGACCGGTATCTATTACCCGGGCGCAGGTTGAGGTTGGACTGGATTGCCGCACCCCCTTTCACGCTCAGAGGCTCCGTGCGTCGATACCATGCTTCATGATAAAAGTGAAAAGAAGATGAGCAAAGAACAAGAACAAAAAACAAGATGTCTATCTAGTTCTTTAAAATGAATTAGCTGAAGGTAAACCCGCATTTACATAATTCTGTCACAGAAATATACGCAAATTCTCATTGATTTCTACATTATATACATGTACTGAGTCTTACCTGTTATTTGGTAGACCTCATTTGCCCAAGGCCCGCCTTTGCCGTCCTCTTCACAGATGGTGGACGGTCCGTACTTGTTGTAGGTGCTGTGACCATCAGCAGACCCGTAACACTCTCCACCACTCCTTAGAGCAAACACGCTGGCACCACGATCACGTGCTACGTTGTAGCACTTTGCGATGGCGTTTTCACGGAAACGGAAGTCGCCGTCCAAGCGTTCATCTAGCCCCTCAAGAGGCGTAATGGCAGGGTCACCAGCGTCTTTCCAGCAGCCCAGGCTGGTGTACGCGAGGCTGTCGCTTGCTGTATGAGAAAGGAGGTATTATTGCAATCTACTATATATTCTAAACATCGGGTAGGCCGGCTACTCTCTCCTTGCAGCCAAGGGTTTACAATTGGTGGGGCTAAATCGCAAGGCAGGCTGTACCGGCTGCCATTCGGCGCTTACTCAGGTGACCTCACAATATTAATTTATTAATGCGAACCATGGTGCGGAAATAAGACTGTAAGGTTTGAACCACTCACACCGGGAAGGGCCTCTACTCTTTCAGGGTTTGTTTTGTTTCAAAAGACGGTGTAACAAAGCGATTCTACCAGTGTAAAAACATTTACAAACATTGCACAATGAATGTACAACACCAGCACAATAATTGAATGTTCACGTACCGTCTCGTATTTCCTGTTCTATGGTCCAATAGAACTCGCGTATGAAGCTCGTGATGTTGCTCGGCGTATTCCAGCGCACCCACATGGTCGTCGTCGATCGCTGATATTCAGCGTTGTCTTGACATGTAACTGTAAGAGAGGAGAAGGACTGCCTGTCATTACGACGGAGTCGTACTTGTTACACATACTTTACACACTTAGGCGTTGACGATGTTGGGCATACTAGTATCTATAGAATAACATAGCAAACTTCTCTTACCATTTGAGTTTTCAAAGCATCCTGGTCCATCTTTCACCATCATGCCTTGTACCGGGCCATCGTGCTCTAGAACGGTGACCCCGTCTGAACTGATGGTGACAGACCCTGCGTTGTTCGTTGCCTTTACCGTGATGAAGTAGGTCTGGAAATTTTCAGTACGACAAAAACATTACAGTTGTTTACTCAACTGTATTGAATTTTCGTTTCATAGTTACAGGTGTGACAAAAAATTCACAAGTCATCCAATGATTGGTCTTACAATGACTTCAACGACCTTCTGGTTGGCCATCGGTTTCCCAATAATGGGACCTGTGGAATCAGGCCCATGATTGGTCTGGTAGATTTGTCCTTTCCGACTTTTCCGACTTTGTATATTACAGTCTTAGCCTTTCTCCAAACAATCAAATCGTCGACTTGAAGGGAGAAGTAGAACAGTGACTGAAAAATGACAAGACACCAACCTGGAAGTACTGGAGACTAAGGCCGGTGATGGAGACATCCGTGCCGGCAGCAGCAGTGAAGGCTTGGACGTCCTGACCGCCGGCAGTTGTTCCTACCGCCACCTCATAGGTAACTGCCGCTGGATCTTCACTGAAGCCGAACCAACGTGCCGACAAAGCTCCGGTGTCTGTTTGGGCGTCGACGTCTTCGTAATCCTTGAGGAAGAGACCGACAATGTTGATATTTTGTAGGGGCACTGTGGTATTTTCATTTTGATTATCAACTCTTGAGGGCCTTTTCCCGGAAAAATATATTCATCACAATGCCATAGTACACGCTATGGTTGATGATGACACCCAGACCATAAAGTGTTTGTCATGAATAGCGAAGTTAATTATCTTATATAGAGGCATAACTGCGGATGTAACAGGTTAACGTTGCTCTTTTAATGTCCCGATGGACACACGGGAATACTAATGAGATGCAAGAAAGTAAAATACTAGTATGATAAGACACCAAACAACTAGCAGTATATGACACACTTTAAACGTATCCTATCCTATAAGGTTAACAGCTATATAACAACAGCTTACATGACTTCCTGGGTCATCCACATCTGGTTTAATATCAAAGACGGCACCATTGGCGGGAAGTGTGCGGGGTATGCTGTAAGCGCTTGAGGTGCCGATAACCGACAGGCTTGCCGGATTGGTCACTTTGACAAACATGTACAGACTGTCACTTGGATGGAGGACGTCTGTTCCAATCGCTGCGCAGTTTGGAGGCTGGGCGCTAACACAGGGTCCATTGGCTCCAACATGGCGGAAACGCAAGACGTCAGCCAAGCTTGGGTGACGTCCTGAATACATGAAACATGATTTGTTGGTATATTAAGTTTTGTAACGTTATAATATATATACCATACCATCGCCAAAAACTTAAGCATATGCGCAATTCAAAACCCTTTGTCATCTCGGATATGGAAGTAATCAAGAGTGTTACTTACCAACAGCGAATGAATACATCAAAGGGTCCTGGCTTTCGTCATCAAAGAAGTCGCTCCCTGTCCAACGGCCTACAAGAAAATTCCCTTCCTTAGATAGCGTTATTTGTCCCGTGAACTGCGGTGGAGTTATGTCCACGATAGTAGGACCCACAGCCTGCAAGAAAAAACACCGTGAGACGTTACAAATCTTCATTTTTACATCTTAACGCATCCAGCCATAAATACAAAACATGAGCTGAATCCCACTTCTGACACCATTTTGTGTTCTTCTAATAATGAAATTAATGAAACTCACTAAAGTATTTAAACTGGTTTCACATATTCATAGGATAAGAAAAAAGGATTGTTTGCTTTCCGCTCTGATTGGTGTTGGAAAAAGGTCCAGAGTGCAGAGTCTAACATCCCTTCTTGTGCGAATCGACTTACCGGTTAATAATGCAGACATGGGCTGTATGAGCATGGAATGTTGGGTATTCAGTTTTCTTTGTTTGATTACATCGCTATGAACACAAATGTCGTACCTTGACAGTGGTTAGCCCCGCGCTGTTCTCAGCCTTGATGACCAGGTGGAACTGGGAGTTCTGACTGAGGCGTGGATGGGAGAAGCGCAGCTCCGGAATGCCGGTGGTGGAGGTGAAGGGCATGATGTCGGGGCTACTTGTACTGCTGGTGCTGCTCAACCCCACCGAGAAATCGTAAATCCCGCTTTCATCCTCACCGATCCAGGAAACAAACAGCTGAAGTACCAAATAAAGGCACGTTTAATTCTCTTTGTAGTAACATCTCTTTCGTGTCCGACACGTTTTGTAAAAATGCACACACTTTAATTGCTAATGATATGTTAATGTGTGTGCATGCACTGTGTTAATGGCCACCAGGAACAAAAGCACGCTTTACTTCAATTCCTTGCGACCTTTTACTTTCAGCATAACAACAACATCGTAACGAAACTCCATGTCAAGAGAAAGACAGTGGTTGGCCAGACACTAAACTGGGGACATACACTGATTTGGGGGGTCAATTGTAGTTTGCTTTCGGGAAATTACTGATAATAACTCGATTCCACAGTCCATCACCATTGTCACATTCATGTCCTCAGAATAGCCCTCTGGAAAACTTATATAAAGTACTTACGTTTCGGTCCATGGAAACGTAGTTGGTGGTCGGTGCTCCTGAGTGCCGAGTGCAGTACTGGTTAGTGAGGGTGGTGTTCGTCACGAGATCGCGTCTCGGGGCGTAGTCATCGATGTTGTTTACTTGAGGCACAGTTCTAAAATAAAGGTTACAAACATATTACTAGTACCTGATGATGTTTCGGAATCAATCCAACCAGGAACCTAATGTTGCTCACAATTCTATCTACCCTATGGAATATCGTGGAATGAAGAAACTGTATTCTAAAATTGAGAGTTATACAACATACAAAATATAAAGAGGCAAAGTTCTGAAATAAAGGTTACAGACGACGAGTGCATGAATATAACGGGACTTGATTTGATTTGATCTATTGAAATTGTAAGAGTGCAATACACGCGGAACAGAGGCAGCTGTTGCTGGTATTGTGTCCCGCACATAATAACAAATACTGGACATACAATACTCATTTTCACTTGAGTCTAGTGGGGAAAGTCGTGTTAAGTGCCTTTCCCAAGGGCACAAGATCGGTGGCATGTCAGGACTCGAACCCGGGACCTCTTGATTCCGAGTCGCGCACGCTGCCGTTGTGCCACACGACCCCACTAACGGGACTTACAGGCATTGCGCCGGAGGGTCTAACACCAGCACGCGGTGTCGTCTCTGGTCTATCAACCAGACGTCGCCGCCAGCATCTTTCACCACCCCAGGCCGGACGGCGAGGTGGTCCACGTGGATGGCCGTGAGAGTCGGCGGGGTGACGTCCACCGTGACGCCGTCAGAACACACCGGTGCGGACGGGTCCAGCGCGTGGTTGTAGGCCACCACTGTGCAGAAGTAGGTCCCGGGGGATGGTGCCGTGTAGACAGCGTTGGTGTCTGTTGTCCTGGTTATCTGCGATTCAGTTTGAATTCATTCAACGTAGGCTGGTGCAACGATGAACATTGGAACATTGTCCAGTTACAGTTCGGATTAAGTGCTGAGATTAGGCAATTAGACTATCGCTAATTATTCCAAAAAGGGTCCGATGTTTTCAATAGTGTAAAAATCAAAAGTCACTGAAGTGTTAATATACACGTATTTAGTTACATGTATGTTATAACGTTAACATATGAGTACTTACAGACGCTCCCTTCGGTAGTTGGAGATCATCTGCATCCAAGCAGCTGGTAGAATAGCCATACAGGTAGAACTTCACGCCGCTCTCTTCGTCAAAGAAGCCGTCCCACCAGGTCTTAATCGCTGTCGTCTGTTGATAATCTATCTCTGCCTGCCCCTCTAGACCGTCATGCACAGTACCGGGAAGAGGCGGGGATGTGTCCACTGTTATCTGGAACAAGAGAACAATAAAACAGGTTTGCGTAGAACTAGATGTAAATCGAAGCTAGTGATAACTTAACATGGGTTTGCATACTCTGCAAGCTGTTTTAAAAGAGTTACAATACTGCTCGCCTTTCGCCATATCCAAAACCAGAAAAGTGATGCGCATTCACTGTGTCATCAGGTTCGTGATGCGCATTCACTGTGTCATCAGGTTCGTGGAATAAGGTCAGATGTCGCCAAACAAGTTCAGAGGTCACGGGCCGGCTTCGGAGAGAACTCTTGTCATCTTGGTTGAGGTGTCAACGCTTTTAGGCTTCCAAGGGCCAACATTTGTGACACCCTGGATCTGAATATGGTTTGTAGTATTTTTGAGTGTCATTTGATGTTTGTTAGATAGATGAAACGCTTGCTCCAGTGTTTAGAAACGGGACAAGAGCGCCCCCCTCCCACCACGCAGCCGTAACATTTTGTCATCGCGGTCGTACTTTTGCATGCGTAATGTCTATCTCTTTGACGTTGTCCTTTATTTCTTTAACAGGAGAAGAGCAACTGTTGCAGACGACAAAGATTGTCAAGTGTCGACAGATGACGGAACGGGGTAACTGCTGAGGTAAGTGGGCGGGCAGTACGTAGCTTGACACAGTCGACGTTTAGCAGCAGGATTTCTTGGGAAAACTTTGGATCCAGAGGATTTCGATTTACTAATCCTGGTATTCTCATAGATAGACGGTAAATAATGGTTCGGCAGTCAATTGCAAGGGGCATAGCACTGTCCTTTTCTGTATCAAAGGTGCATGTATTAAAAGTATATCACTCCAACTCTTCCAACTCTTACAAATTCGCTGCCGGCAACCCCGCTGAGTCAAATGTAAACAATAGTCGGCACATTATCCGTCAATCGCTATTTAAATCGGGCCGCCCTAAATATTATTCTACGCAGTTCCTAAGTAGGTAAAAGGTAATTTTGTTGAAAGTAGAATAAAAATCTACCTTAGGAACCATTTATTAACATGAAAATAATAAAGATATAACGTTACAAGAATTTAGCGCATATTTTGGACTCTCATGATTGAGTCCATCCCAGTAACAGGGAACAGTCTAGTCAAGGAGGTTTAAATCTAATCTATTTGTGTTATGCTGAGAGTTGCCTTGTTCCTGACAGTGAGTGTTATGATGCAAACAAAAAACCCAACAACTATGAACTATTTTTCATTTTGATTCATGCAGGACATTTTTCAACATGTCTAAGAATAGTTTTTAACCAAATAAACAGTTAAATCCGATGCAACGACAAGCAAAAGTACTAAGTTACAACAAGTTCCAATGTACCTTCAGTGTTTGTGTTGTGCTGAGAGTGGCCTTGTTCCTGACAGTCAGTGTCACCAGGTAGTCATGATCATGTCCACCCACATCCACCTGGCTACGGTCAAAGGTAATGACGTAATCCTTTTTGTAGCAGGGTCCCTTTGCAGTCTGTACACAGTTTGTGGTACAGGTGGCTCCACACTGAAAAACAAAACAAAGTAAACAGACATATTTTAAGACATAAATCGTTTTGCCTATGTTTACAAGTACTGTAATGACAATGATTTTATGAAGGTTTATGCTGTTAATTAATATGTAAAAGAAATACACATAGAATGTACAAACCTATTTTAGATAAGAGAGTGGAAAACATTAAACATGAAAGGGTATTCACTATTAGATCTATCAAAACACATCACTTTTTATGTTGTAAAGAAATTTACTTACGGTTAGTTGTTGTACAGCTACTACTCCTGACGCAATTTGGGCTGACGTTTTAAAGTCGGCCAATGTCCAGGTTATGTCATGCAGTCCACTATGCTGGTCAAATGCATCGAACTGAACTCTGTTGTATAACAAAGCACAAAGGAAAGTGTCAGGTTGGGAGATAAAAAAAAAAACTTCTTTAAGTTGTTGTCATAATACAAGCATTTATTGACTTTTGACAGAATTACATGCAACCTTTAATATTTTTAAAATCGATAAAAATGGGGTGGCCTTTTATAACTCAATGTTATAGATAAGTTTGTCTAATGTGTGCCCCATGTGTTTTTTCATTCAATACATACTACATTTCACATTGCTATGACATGGTTTCTCTTTGGGGGCATGATAGAAGCATGTTGAAAATTTCTCTACTTGTCCCAGGGAGCGTTGTTTTGTTCTTACATGACTTCATTAGTCTTTTCCTTTCTTCGTTTCAGCGAGGGAATTGATGGTATTCATCTTCAACTTTGTCTTTGCAGGCAGGACACATTCTCTTTTTGGCTGGTATATTTTTGTGACGACCCGTCTCGATTTCTAAGCAATGTGCACCAATTCTCAGTCTTGTTATACTAGTTGTAAATGATTTGTTTTGAATCACCGAAAGGTAATTCTCCATGGTAAAGGTTTTTAGTAGGTGGTTGTATAAGAACGCTGGATGAGAGCGCAGCAGAATTGGTAATTATATGCTGGACCAGTAATCATTCAGGAATGTTGACTGGATAATTGCTACAAGCAATGAGGATGACATCCAGTCAGCCTGGCTATTGCTCACAGTTAGGTGCACAAAGAAATAATTAATGACCGGAAATATTTTTCGGATTTAAAAACTTGCCAAGAAATGGAGTAAAATGTGCAAAATCGCGCCAATAATTGACCTGTCTTGTCCAGCGAGTATGACTCAACAGTGCTTGAAGCCTTTACACCTCAGGCGCTGACCTATGGGCCACTTAAACCATGCCTCTTTGTTATTCTTCATTAAAATATTTTCTTTCATCAACACCTATGCACGCACATCCTTAGAAGGAGAATATGAGTCTTAGGGAGCATTATTCTTGTCTTCTTTTGTCTTGAAATGTTTTGAGATGTTTTGCAGGACTGGTGGCGTTGACGACTGCTTTAACTCAGGCCCCGGTACAAACAATTGATGTCAAAGATATTATCTATCTGTCTTTCCTTCAATTAGTCTGGTGGCAGAGACCAATAAGCGTGCAATGCGGTCCATACAAAGTTTTTTTGTTGTTTCTATATCTCTGAGGTGTGCTCTTTCAGAATCTGAATGATGCCACTCTGTCATCCTTGGGCAATTCGCACAATATGCAAATTAAGGTGGCCATTACTGAAAATCCAGTTTTCGTCAATATCTCAGTAACTACTCATGGTATCAGAATAATTTTGGTGTCTATCCCCATCTTTTAAGGGATAACGAATGGAATTAAGCCATTTCAGTAAGGATCAAACCAGTTTTTTTGTGCTGAATATGCAAATTTGGGCCGCACAATAGACAAATCAAGGTGGCCATTACTGAAAATCTGTTTTCCGTCAATATCTCAATATCTCAGTAACTACATTATGATATTATAATATCTTTGGTGTCTTTCCCCATGTTTTTTGGGATAATGATTGAGGATAGGCCATTTCAGTGGAGATCAAATAGATATTTTTGTGCTTGATTCGCAAATTTAGGCCGCCATTACTGAAAATCTGTTTTTCGTCAATATCTCAATAAATCTCATGGTATCAACAATACTTTTGATACAATACACATACTATACACGTGTTTTGAAGGCTAGATAATCAGAATAAACCATCCCAGTATTGATCACACCAACATTTAATGCATATTACTAGTATGCAAAAACTAACCAGTATATAGCATGGGCGCCTGTACCTCTGAACACTGATAGGAATGTTAATAAATGATACAATCTGTTCAAAAAAATATAAGACCCTTCATAAGCCCACACCTGTGCCTTACCAGCGTCTCTGTACAGGCAGAATAAAGCGCTAACTTGACGTCCTGAAGTCGGAGTTGAATTCTTCATGATTCCCGGACAGGCCAAAAAAAATAGCCCGGTAGCCGCGGGGTGTCCCACGCCTGAAAGTGTCAAAAACAGCCCGGGAACTACCCGCCAGGGACTTTACATGAATGGCATCACTTCAGAGATGCTGAAAGCCGAGGGTGACTGTGTTGTGAGATGGATGCTTTTCTGATCGCCGTACATCGCAGACGCTTTAATATAGAACCATAACCGTCTTCCCTAGTACGCCTTCCCTGGAATAAAGCAGGCATTCAACGGCGATCACAGGAGGAGTGCTGGAGGACTGGAAGAACGGATCAGTAGTTCAGCTGGAGTCACATGTGAAACGGCGCCCGCTCGGCATGTTCTCGGTGTAGACGCCGGCCGGCGTCATGAAGCCGAGCGTACGCCGGCTGTCAGGGTCACAATTGAATTTTCCTTTACGGCTCCCTGTCGGGGCGCTGAGGCGGCTTCTATTTTAAAATTCACAAAATTTTTGGTCCCCTTTGACGACCGGTTTTCTGTTTAGGGACCCGTCCGGTGCCCAGTCAGTCTTCCGTCAGACCCGTGCGGGATGCGATAGGGTGCCGACTAGCTCTTGCATTCCGGCCGGGCAGCTACAGGGTCCCTGGCGGGGTCAAGGGGCGATCCTGGCAGGTCCCAGGCTGGTAC